ATGGGTCTCACTTTTCTTCAAATTTTAATCTATAGTATAGTCATAATTAAATTTATTAAGAGAAGAACAATGTAAGTGAGATGTATTAGGTTCGAATTTTGTGAATAACGAATTTGGTATAATGTATAATAAATTAAAAAATTAAAAGAGCCATGTATAAATACTCACATTATAGCTAACAAGATGTGCACCCTTTTTTTCTCTGTCTTTCACGTGAGAATAGAGATGGAAAAATATGGTACGCACCTTGTTGCAGATAAGTTTCTCTTTTAAGGAGAATCCTATAGCTCCAAATAGCAAACCACTTACAAAACTTGGGCTAGAGACCTATAGCTGCTACTGGCGACCCACTAAGGAAAAAGGCTGTTTTGGGCTTTTTTTATTTTATTAGAAAGTCTTATTTTCATTTGGGTTTGGATTGGGCTTGGAACATGTGTGCAGTGGTTGGGTCAATCTGATAACTGTTTCGTTGTTGGTTTTCGGTTAGGAAATATATGGAATACTTGCAGAGCCAGTATGGGCTCACAATGGTTATCTGATGTGAAGTTCTCATGCTTCTCATTAGAATAATATATATTATATAATAAAAGTTTGTTCGGAAGTGATTTTAAAATGACTGAAAGTCTGGAAGTATTTTTGGGTTCCAAAAGCTTAGCGTAAGCATTTTTTGGTTTCAAAAAAACTTGAAGTGGTACTTCTTGCAGGAAATACTGTTTTTTTAGGATTCATTTGTATTTTTACTAAAGATTAGTTATAAATACACTCTCATCAAAAGTTCTTATAATCATTTTGAAAACATGGTTATATTTATCGAGAAAGATAGCCAGACAATATTATAATGATGTGATTATGAAAAAATTTCAGACTATTAAAAAGCGTCAAGGACGACAATTGTAATTTTATTAGAATGTTTTATGAAACATTCTAAGGATTTTTATTTTTATATGAGTTTTTCTTATTATCTTTTTAATCTTATAGTTATTTAAGGTTGATCCAACTTCAAATATTTTTGCCTGCGCTACTGATATGGAAGAATTGAGAGATGAAGAATAGTATTGTAGAAAGGGGAAGAAATAGAGAAGAATGACTGAAAACAAAATCTAATGAGTGAAAACAAAATCTTGGAAGTGAAAACAACAAAATAACTTTTTATTTTTTGTTTTAGTTTTCGTTGTATAGATTTCCTTTTACATTTCTTCATCTCTCCCATCTTCATTCCTCATTTTTCTTGTGCATTTTCCTTCTACCACTAACATAAAAATGAAACAATAAATGGAAATGGAAGTCTTTAAACAAACCCTAAGGTGGCTCATAAGCTAATTTTTTTGATACTTCTAGAAAACTATGAAACAATTGAGCCTAGATGATTGCCTATAATTTTAACACAATATGATAGTTCAATTTATTCCTCTTCACTTTAATATTTCTTTGGTCTATTGAGATTTTGATACTATATATATGAATCACACATCAGAAACGTAAAGCTTTGCATATGAGTTAAATAGTTTTAGCCCTCTTCCCTCATAGTTAACAAACTAATTAATGGTGCAATTTGTTATATGATTCTTTGTTATTAATTATGTTCTAATTAAGCTGTATAATATATTAGAATGTTTGCATGTGGGTTGTAGTTCTCACACGACATTGCATATGGTTCTCAATGTCACCAGCCAAAGCTTCCCAGATTCAAATCCAGTGAGACAATAGAGATGAAAATTGCAGGGACTATTAAATATGCGTGTATTTATGTCATAGCCATCAAGGTGGCAAGTTATACAGTTTGAATAAAAGGGCTGCTATTAGCATTTTAAAAATATATTTTATATAATTTTCTTTTTAATTATAGAAATTTTAAAGTTAAAAAATGAGAATTTTAAGTGTACAATTCTACGTGAGAATTTATTCAAACAATAAATCAGATTGCTGACTACGGTTCAGGGCCATGCCATTTTATATAGTTTTTTTTTTTTGGTTGAAAAGGCCATTTTATATGGTTTACGCAGTAAATATGTATATGCATGCAAATTGCATAAGGTCCAATATCCTTTTCATGCCTTTCAGGTTCGAAATTTTCCCTCTTATAAATTATTGTAATAATTTCGAATTCCCTCCTCTTCTCTTAATAAATAACTAGCAGAGAGCACACACTTTTTGTGTGTGAACAATTTCTCTTAATAAGTGCATATTTTTTTTAATATTACATAATTACTGTTTTGTCCTCCTTATTTAAATATTGTGCATCAAAAGTAAGGGTAAAATTGGAAAAATAAGTATATGATTGTCATTTTATGAAAAATAGTAAAATAGGAAAAATAGGGATATGATTGTCATTTTGTCAAAAGGTAAAAAATTACTATTTTGCCCTCTTTTTGTCAATAGTGTGAATCAAAAGTGAGGGCAAAATAGAAAAAAAATGAGAAAAAAGTTGACAAGGAGGGTTCTCTGGTATTGTTTGGTATGTGAACGGGACGAGACGGGATGGAACGGAATGGGACGGGACGAGATGGGACGAAACGGAGAAGGAGCAAAGATGCCCTTGGATGGAAATAAGGAAGAAGAAGAAGGAGACGGAGAGGTTATAATTTTGTGTTCCATGGATGTGGAACGAGTCATTCCAGGGGGTGATATGGAACGAAAATTCACCCAAAATTCGTCCCGTGGAACAGCGCGTTCCACCCGTTTTAGGCACACCAAACGTGGAACAGAACCCCTCGTCCCACTTCGTTCCGTCCCGTCCCACGTACCAAACGGTACCTTAATAATATAGATAGATTAAATTAAAAAAAAATGTATATACGTGCAAATTTAATGCAAATGCATGGTCCTTACGCCTTTACTTCTTTTCGTGGACCGCATGCAGATGTACATTATACACACATGACATTGGAGCAGTTTCTTAACAGGACTCCCTTTTACAGAAGCCAAATTAAACGTGGTAGAAGTCATGTATTCACCATATAGCCATGAACTTATATTTCACTTTGTACTCAATTTTGTTGCTCTACAACGAGGATCCTATACGGTAAAGACATGGTATCTACGGAGGCCCTATCATCCCCTCTTTTTTCTATAATAAAACATAATCCCTGTATTGGTGCCATACCTCCCATTGCGAGTACTGTTTGAGAACTCTGTGTCAGCTTAAGCTTGTTAAGGGTGCCTTGGGAGGCCTTCAGGCTATCTCAAATGAGATTTGTTATTTCAAATGCGCAATGTTGGCCAAAACTAACAGATTGATTGATTGTTTGTTATTATTTAGGTTGTTTGCTTGCGTCACAAGTAAATCGAACTTCGTTATCAAAGGACTGTGCAATAGAGATATTAAATTTATTTTAAGTTCTTTTCTATGCCTTGTTGCCATGGGCTTTATTCTTTGTGTTGGTGCCAAATAAAAGACAACCACAAATTGATCGAAACTGGCTCCAAGTCAGTTTCCAATTCTCATGTAAACGTAAAGATAGAAAATAAGACCATTTAGCTGGAAAAAAGAAAAGACTGAAAGTAAAGTTAATGAAAGACTTGAGAGTGCTTGTTAAATGTTTACAACATATAAATAACTTGAACAAAAAGATAAGTATTTGAAGGTACAAGATAATAAGGTAGAGGGGAATGCGAAACACAAGCATTCAGGAAAGCTTGAACCTGTTCGGGCAAGTCCACAAGCCGTTCGGGCTAATTCATAACACTTAAATGAGTGTTTTTATTGAATTTCAATACAGAAAATTGATACTCCATGAAATATAGCAAAGCTATAAAGGTATAGAGGGTGCTGAATTTATTGAAAAATACTTATAAGATAAAAAAAAAAAAATCTGACTGCGAAGAGCAAAGTTTTTTTATTTTTGATTAGAGTGTCCATATCTTCAACCTCTTTTCTGCTTTTAATAGAGAGAGCTTGTCTTTGATTTGAAGTTCTTTTCGGATCAAATCCCCTTGAGTCAAGTTGATGACATGATTGGAATCAGAGAAGAAGACGTTTATCTTTTCAACTTGGTCTTTCATTCTTCCAAAACTCCCCAGAATGCCACTGTAAAGTAGTTTTTCTCTTGTGAATGTCGACTAAAGTCCTCTTACCGTGAACGGTTGTTCACCGACTCTAATGTCACATAAAAGCACTTTTGTATTTGTTTGGGCTCGCACCCCGGCCTTCTGGTTTATGAAAATGAATAGTCCATTTAGAAAAAAGAAATAGTTTGAGCCTAACAAGCCTAATGCTTATTTCCAGTTCAAACACCCTGCTAAAAGGGTCTCTCATGCGCAAACCACACGTATATATATGTTCCCTCTCTTTGGCTCTGATCTGTCGCATGTGCCATATATATAATAACAAGAGACGTATCAGAAAGACATAATAATGTTGCCTCAGTATAAGTACGTATATAGTTATGATCACGCAAACAAATCGAGCATGAGAGACTTTAATTAAACCAGGGCATAAATAAATAAATAAAATATTAATGGAGTTGTCCAACTTCTATTTAGCTAGGCCAAATTTTGAAAAAGATGTATCAGGAAGACATAATAATGCTGCCTCATTATAAACATGTATATAGCCATACTCTCGTAGAAAGAATATGGACCATTCACCATGTAATTCTAGTTTCATGTGAACGAGAGCATGTGAACGAGAGATTTTTCAGTGCGTTCGAAACATATGGAGCTATACGCCATATGTCATTATACAAGTGGAGAAAAAAAATTTCAAGTGTCCCTCCAATTGTATAAGAACATGTGGTATATCCTCCCATATTCCGAGCACATTGAAAAATCTCTCCAAGTGAACATATTTCATCGTTTTTCTATAATGCATTAAATTAAGGATAGTGTTATCCACACACACCTTTTTATCTCCCACACATATTTCTTAACTTTCGGTCTTCAGATCGAATGAATTGAAAGTAGATCAAAGGATATAAATTAGCAAGAGGTATGTGAGAGGTCAAAATGAATGTGTGGATAGCACCATCCTCAATTAAAGTGACAAAAATGAAGAGCAAAAGTACAATATTATTGTAATTGAGTGGATATATATAAGTCGCTGGCTGCGATGAAATTAGATTCATCAGAGTAGTGTAAGAGTGTAAAGGATCAGGAGGAGAGATGGGTGGCATTCCATGGACTAAGGAAGAGGATCAATTGCTCAGGAAATGCATAGAGCAGCATGGAGAAGGCAAATGGCATCGTCTTCCTCTCTTGGCTGGTATTTGCTTGCTTAACTTCCTAACTTTTGACATCAACTGAAGGCTCCTTCTATATTAAAGACTTTTTAAAAAGCACTTTGATTATATGTAAGTCGATTTTTTTTTTTTTAAATTCAAGTGTTGTTTGGAAAAGTACTTGTAAGTGATTCTTGAAGAAACACTAAGGAACAATAAAGAAATATTGTTAAATGCTTTTAAGTTTTTATGCAAAACATACCAAAAAAAAGGTTTTTATGCAATTTCAAATGGACCCTTAGATTCCTTAACTATTTTTCAATGGCATCTTATGAGCGATTAATTTCTTTTTTGACATGAAAATAGTACCCCTGTGGCATGTACAACACTACTGTATAAAAGGTTGAATATATTTATATTTAATATATTGAAAAAGTTGAGCTTTTATCATAAACCAAATTAACTGTATTGAAAGTAGTTCAACTCTTTATAATTTCATGTACGGTTTTTTTTTTCATCAATATGAAATTTATTCTCAGTATATATTTAGTATTGTTCTCAACTTTCTTATCATGAATAGAACTTGTTAGGATATTGATTTTCACTCTCAATTTCTCCTTCTGCACTTTTTCTTTTGATTTATATAACTCTAAGGAGAGATAGAACACATGAAGAGGAAAAAAAATAATGCGAAAATCATATCCTCCCGCTATCAATTAACACTAGTTTAAACACTAAATTTCCCTATAAAAAAAACACTAAATTTTATAGTAAAGAAGGAGATGGGACCAAAGTGGGGATTAAAAGGGTGGGTCATATCACTTCACTTCCATATCATTTCAGACGTGCTATTGAAATTCTTCCCCATATATAGGTTAGGTTAGGAGACAAAGATTGTTCATTTTTGGTTACCAATCTCATGTATGCATTTCAACTTTAGACTAGGCATCTCGTTGGGTTCTTGATGAAATTAGTCTACCTGCATATATATGATTATTGGATATACATATATATACATATATATATATATATATATATGTATACACACACATACATACATATATGGATGGTGTTCCTAGTGATGATCTGGTTTGGGGATACTACTAATGAAGCATTTATGTTTATAAGTGTTTTTACTACAATCTTTTAGTAGAAATACCTTAAAATTTTAATGGCTTCATAAAAGAAGAAAAATGGAAATGCTTCATAAAGAAGCATTCTACCTAAAAATTCTGTTGATTAGAATTAAACAACCTATCTTAATTGCTAAAAAATAAATAAATTATGGCTACTTTCAGTGTCAAAAAGCATGTTAATCTCTCAAACTTGGATATTATTGCTGTGAATTAAGGTCTAAACAGGTGCCGCAAGAGCTGTAGGCTGAGGTGGTTAAACTACCTCCGCCCAAACATCAAAAGAGGAAACTTTGAAGAAGAGGAAGTTGATCTCATCATCAAGCTCCACAGGCTCCTGGGAAACAGGTAAGTTCTAGTTAATAATCACCCACAAACCACACATATCTACTTGCGCATAAACCCTGATAATCGATTTTTTTTGTCAGGTGGTCATCGGTTGCAGCCAGACTTCCGGGAAGGACCGGTAACGATGTGAAGAACTACTGGAATTGTCACTTGAGCAAAAGGCTAAACGCTCAGCAAGATCATCAAAGTGAATATCATATTAAGAACAAGCATGATGCAGTTAGGAACATTAATAATGGTGTAAAAGTCATAAGATCCCAAGCTTCAAACTCTGCAGGTACAAGCAGCTCAAAGAGGCCGTCATATGCACCAACTCCTCATCAACCAGTTAATGTATTTGTACAAGAGGAAGGTAGCAGCACAGGGCCAAAGCCAAAGCTATGCAATTTTAATGGAAATGGTCAGAATAATAATCAGATATTTGAGAATAATAATAATAATAATAATAGTACTGGGATTAATGCGAGTGACTATCCAATGGATGATGACCTTCCACCATTTGATCAACAAGTTAAAGAATATCATCAAGGTGGCGATGATGGAGATCAGGTCAACAGAAAATGGGAGTGGGACGACTCCATCTTTGCCGACATGGACCTCTGGACTGATTAATTTAGGAACTTATTATGAGAGAGATTTGCTAAACTATTAATTAGGTGTTCGTCATTATTAGTATGATATAATTTTAATTTATGCATCAACATGTACTACCGAATGTTAATGAATTAAGAGGTGATGTGAATAATGACCCATATAGGTAAACATTTGTCCTTTCAGTTCGACTTAGGTTAACCTAATTAAGAAATATTCTATCGAGAGACTGAGATTAGTTTGATTTAAATCAATAAACATGAGAAAATGGAATTTCTTGTGGTATAAAGAACAGTGTTTTAACCTTCTTTAGTTTCTTTTTGCCTTGCTACGATTTTAATTTTAGGCACAAGTTCTGGTGTAATGGCTTACGTCCCGCCCCACAAGAAGCACATAAAGGAAAAGGAGAGGCCAGTTACCAACGCTTGCTCCCCAGTTCAAGAAAAATTTAAAATATGTGAAGCCATCTAAGTACAGTTTTGATCCAAGATTTCTTTATGCATATGCAAACCATGCTACATCGAGATTTTCTAATTTCTACCATTGGTTTGAATGATCAGAACCAGTTTCCATCTACCGCGCGTTAAACTTGTGCCCATTTCCTAGGAATCTACAGAAAGGAATAATGAAGAAAAAACTCTAGCTCTGATAAACACTTGTCTAGATAATGGTAGCTAGTATAACATTTTGTTAATTAGTACATTGATTTATATCTTGTAAGTTTGTTACTTGGATTCTATAAGGAAATTGCCAAAGAGTCCTTGGGATCTATGTTGGGGCTTAAAAAGACTTCTCTACTTTGGAGACGTTTATCTCACAAAGAAGAATGTAATGCAGCGGAATTGGTAGGCAAGAGAAAGAAAGAACACTCAAAGTTTTTACACAATTTTTTTTATTCACTCATAAACTAGTACAAGAGGAAACACTCAAACACTCTTACACTTCTTCACTCTTTTCTCACTTCTTGCACTCTTGGTTGTTTCAAATGGTGTGGATGCCTTCTCCTTTTATAGGCATGGATGGAACCTTGGAGAAATATGGAATCATCATGCTAGAGATATCTAGATAATTCCACTACCTTCCTAAGCTAGAATTATCTACATTAATCTTGTATGTTAGTGGAATCCTCACCATTCTTCTAGACTCTTCCACCAACTTGAACTTTGCTGGAATTCTCTAGCATGTGCATGGATATTTCTTTGTGTATGGGCCGAATCAATTGTCTTGGGACAACACAAGATTACATTTCAACATCCCCCCTTAATCTTGTCTTGTGACGCCGATTGATTTCCTCAATCTAACAAAGTCTTCTTGTTTGAGTGGCTTGGTGAATATGTCGGCGACTTGGTCTTGAGACTTCACTTATTCCACTTGCACATCCTTTCTTGCAATACACTCTCTTATGTAATGATAGTGGGTATCTATGTGTTTGCTCCTATCATGGAATACTGGATTCTTTGCTAGAGCTATTGCAGACTTCTTGTCGACATAGATCTCTGTTGGCTCTTCTTGTGGCATGCTTAATTCTTTTAGCAAGTTTCTCAGCCAGATTGCATGACAGACACATGAGGTAGCAGCTACGTATTCAGCTTCGCATGTAGAGAGAGTGACAATCGGTTGCTTCTTCGACATCCATGTGAATGCAATGTCTCCCATGAAGAACACAAATCCAGTAGTGCTTTTTCTATTGTCGGAATCTCCTGCCCAATCACTGTCGTTATATCCAACAAGTTTGTAGTTATTAGAGCTTGAATAGAACAAGCCAAAGTTAACAGTACCTTTAAGGTATCGAAGAATTCTTTTGACGGTCTTCAAATGTGTAGTTGTGGGATTCTCCATGTAGCGACTGACTAATCTGACGGCATAGAGAATATCTGGTCTTGTGCAAGTCAAGTAGTGCAAGCTTCCAACTAAACTCTTGAAAAATGTTAGATCTACACTTTCTCATTCGTCATGCTTGGTTAGTTTAACTCCGCACTCCACTGGTGTGCTTATGGGCTTGCAGTCATCCATTTTGAACTTTTTCAGTATCTCCTTTATGTAGCTTTCTTGGGAGATGAAAATGCCTTCTTCGTTCTGCTTGGCTTCAATGCCTAAGCAGTATGCCATCAGCCCGATGTTGGTCATCTCGAATTCTTTGGTCATCACTCTTTTGAACTCTTCATACATGCTTGGATTACTTTCGGTGAAGATTAGATCATCCACATATAAGCACACAATTAGAATATCTTCATCTTTGACTTCGACGTAGAGAGCATGTTCATGAGGGCATTTGATGAAGTTGTTTTCTTGGAAGTACTTGTCGATGCGACTATTCCATGCTCGTGACACTTGTTTTAACCCATAGAGGGCTTTCTTCAGCTTCAGAACTTTGTTTTCATGCCATTTGATTTCATAGCCTGACGGTTGCTGAATGTAGACTTCTTCTTCAAGGACTTCATTTAGGAAAACAGACTTTACATCAAATTGTTGAATCTTCCATTTGTTTTGAGCTGCCAAAGAAATAAGTAATCGTATAGTTTCCAACCGAGCAACGGGTGCAAATACCTCATCATAGTCGATTCCTGCTCTTTGACTATAGCCCTTCGCCACTAATCTCGCATTGTATCTTTCGACCTCTCCGTTGGCATTCTTCTTTGTCTTATACACCCACTTGACTCCGATGGCTTTATGTCATTTCAGAAGAATGGCGAGTTCCCATGTATCGTTCTTCTGGATTGCTTCAATTTCTTCATCCATTGCTTTTCTCCATTTAGTATCTTGCATTGCTTCTTGGAAGTCAACTGGTTCACAATCAGCAAAGAGATAGAAAATTGTAGGATTATCGAGTCTTTCAGCCACCTCATAGAGATTTCGTAGACTTCTTGTGCGTTTCATTTAGACTCTCACTTGATGATGCTGATGCTGGTGAAATACCATGATTGGTTGATGTTGGTAAAACAGGTGGAGTAATGGATTCTTGTTGAACCTCTCTTGCTTGCTCCATCATCCCTTGTTCATTCTCTTCTTCAAACTGAGGAAAGAAGTGAAGATCACTTGCATGAGAGCCAAAATCCCATTCTCCTTCTTCATCGAACGTCACGTCTCGACTGATCACCATCTTCCTATTGTTTGGATTATATAGCTTATAGCCTTTTGAATTTGAGTCATAGCCGATGAAGATGAACTTCTCACTTTTGTCGTCGAGTTTGGTTCTCCTCTCGTCTGGTACATGTACATGGGCTATGCTTCCAAAAACTCTTAGATGGGAGATACCTAGTTTTCTTCCACTCTATGCTTCTTGCAGAGTCTTTCCGTACGCACTTCTTGTTGGAGATCGATTGGATAGGTAGACAACACATGCTACAGCTTCTGCCCACAACTCCTTAGGCAATCTCTTGCTTTTGAGCATGCTTCGAGCCATGTCGAGGATGGTTCGATTTTTTCTTTCCACCACACCATTTTGTTGAGGGGATCTTGGAACTGTCAAAGGTCGACGAATTCCATTAGCTTCACAGAATTCTTGAAATTCCTTTAAAGTGAATTCTTCTCATTGATCAGATCTCATGGTTTTGATCTTGGAACCACTCTCATTTTCTACAGCGGCTTTGAATTTCTTGAATACTCCAAAGACTTCTGATTTTTGCTTTAATAAGTATACCCAGGTTTTTCTTGAAAAATCATCAACGAAGAGAAGGAAATAATTATTTTTACCCAAAGAGCCTGGTTTTATTGGACCGCACACATCAGTGTGAATGAGCTCGAGTGGCTTCTGGGCTCTTGTGGTCGACTCCTTTGGAAAGCTTTTCCTGAACTGTTTCCCAAGTAAACATCCTTCGCAAGCTTGATCAGGGAGACTGATGCACAGTAAGCCTCTCACCATCTCCTTCTTGGATAATAACTCCAGCCCCCAAAGTTAAGATGCCCAAAACGAACATGCCAAAGCCATGACGTGTCTTTGTAACATGTTTTGAGGCACTTTGCAACATCATTTTGAATATTCATAGGAAACATTCTATTCTTTGACAATTTCACCCTGGCAATTAATCTTCCTTTGTCATCTCTAAGAAAAAGGTTATAATTTTTCATGTGAATATCATAACATTTTTCTAAGAGTTGTCCCAAGCTCAAAATGTTGATTTTCATATTAGGCACGTAGTAGACATTTGAAATTAATTGGTGACCGCCATTTTTCAGGGGAATTAGGATGTTACCTTTTCCTTTGACATGTATTTTGGATTCATCTCCAAAAGAAACGTTGCCACTCACCGATTCATTGAGCTCTACGAACATGCTTCTTCTTCTGTACATATGGTTGCTGGGCTGGTGTCAAGATACCATGTACAGTCTTGGTCTCCATCATTGTTCTGGCATGCTAGTAGCACAACGCCATTATCTTCATTATCTTCTTTCACATAATTGACCTTCTCATCAGGCCTGTTGCTTGGAGCTCTACATTCCCAAGCATAATACCCAAACTTTTGACAATTGTAGCATTGAACTTGAGATTTTTCATACCTCAAGTTTGAGCGTCCTTTTCCACGACCATTTGTTAAGCTTCCTCCTTTTTCGTAGTTGTTATGATTGTTGAAGTTCCAACCACGTCCACGTCTATGTCCATGTCTGCGACCTCGACCACGACTTCTTTCGTACTGGCTTTTCTCATTATCGAAGCTTTCTTCTTTCTTCTTTGGCTGAACATGCGTCTTGAGGAGCTGTTCATCGTTCCCTTGCCTCTTCTTATGTTTCTTTTCATATGCTTGTAGCGAACCCATTAATTGATCTATACTAATTTCTTCCAAGTTTTTAGTTTCTTCAATCGTCACAACAATGTGCTCGAACTTGGGGTCCAACGAGTGTAGTATCTTCTCCATAATTCTAACATCATCTAACTTTTCTCCGTTTCTTTTTAATTGATTGGAAATGGCTAGGACTCTTGAGAAATAATCAGAGATTGATTCAGACCTTTTCATTTGTAGAGATTCGAACTCACCTCTTAATACTTGAAGATGAACCTTTTTCACTTGTTCGGCTCCTTTGTAAGAGGTTTGAAGCTTCTCCTATACTTGCTTGGCAGAGGTTGCACTCGAGACCTTCTCAAAGCCATTGTCATCTAATGCTTGGTAGATGAGGTAGAGAGCCTTCTTGTCTCTCTTTCTTGAATCTTTCAAACTCTCCTTCTGGGGTTGGGACATAGTAGCTTCATCTTCTGGCTCAGTGTAGCATTTCTTCACGACTTCCCATACATCGTGTGCTCCTAAAAGGGCATTCATTTTGATACTCCAATTATCGAAGTTGTTGTTGTCGAGCACTGGAACTTGGAAGGTTGTCATAGCGTTGCTAGCCATAGCTTTGGTACCACTTTGTTGGGGCTTAAAAAGACTTCTCTATTTTGGAGACGTTTATCTCACAAAGAAGAATGTAATGCAGCGGAATTGGTATGCAAGAGAAAGAAAGAACACTCAAAGTTTTTACACAATTTTTTTTTATTCACTCACAAACTAGTACAAGAGGAAACACTCAAACACTCATACACTTCTTCACTCTTTTCTCACTTCTTGCTCTCTTGGTTGTTTCAAATGGTGTGGATGCCTTCTCCTTTTATAGGCATGGATGGAACCTTGGAGAAGCATGGAAGCATCATGCTAGAGATATCTAGATAATTCCACTACCTTCCTAAGCTATAATTATCTACATTAATCTTGTATGTTGGTGGAATCCTCACCATTCTTTTAGACTTTTCCACCAACTTGAACTTTGCTAGAATTCTCTAGCATGTGCATAGATCTTTCTTTGTGTATGGGCCGGATCAATTGTCTTGGGCCAACACAAGATTACATTTCAGCAGCAGAATGTGCTTGAGGACCTTGTTTCTTCATTTAAAAATGCAAGGAATGACGTTGAGAGTAGTGTGGAAATTAGCTCGAAGAATTTTGTCCGAATTTGGTTGCTAGTGGTGGGAAAATTTCTATTTCATATGTTTGGTTTCCTTCGTTTATTAGTAAGCTCATTGATTTGCCATGCATATAACTTAAACATTGAAGTGTTGAACAATGTAAAAGTCCCACATGGGAAACTTGACAGAATTAAGCTTATAATGGATGGCTCTACAGTTAATTGTACCGAAGTCTTTTGTATAAAATTTCCGACGTATTAGATTGCACAGTTGAAACTTTGATAGAAAGCATGTGCTATATTTTTTTAGGTTTGATTTCTTTCTTTGTAACTCTCAGGACCCCTTGAATGAACCTGGAATCCATAAGTGAAACTTTGGATTCTGGAATCTTTAGACAATGGAAGACGTCATTTTTCACAAACGTTCTGGTGTCATATAAGGAATACACTGTAAAGGAAGTTTTCCCGAAGATTGGACTGGAGTTGAAATTAAGGGGAGGAACAATTGTACCATGAAATGTTGAAGTCGGCTCGATTTCTGATATGCTGCAGGAAAATGTGAAGTTGAAATGGGACAACTTCTTGTGCTGTAAACCTTTTTCTAACATGAAACGAAATTACTGCATGCAAGCTGCAAGCCTTTCACTATTGAAATAACGAACCGTTTTCCGCTTCGTTGTAAACCTATGTAGTATTAGTTAAGTGCTTATTGTGAGAGTGATTTGCTTTGCTTAATTTTATAATATCAGGATATCAACTTTTGCTTGAGTATGTACCATTTAAGATTCTACCCTAACTTCTAATAAGCTAATGCAAGGTCTTTTAATTTTTTGATGACGAACAACACTCAATATCACATGTTAAAAATCCAAATTTTTATACGTTATTTTTGTCCTCTAGTTTGATTCTTAAACTATGAGAGGGCTCGTACTCGTACAATTTATATATGGCTAGTTAAGGACAATTTCCATTTCCAGGTTTATTCTCCTCCCTCAATTGCATTTTCCCTTACACTATAATTCATTTGCTGAGAGTTTGTACCTCGAATGGTTAACAATATAATGTTTACTCTTTCACTCGAAGTTACATAAACAATTCTCCCTTTCTTGCACAAAGCTAATTTTATTCGTTATCAAAACCCTCCAGCGAGGTTAATTAGCAAAATGGTAAAAAGTCCAGAGAAAAGGAAAATGATCATTGCCGGATTCTTTTCCTAGAGATCCTAGGGATCCCTCGACCATGACTGTTCATCGGACATCATCAGTCAATTTTCGTTAGGTACTATTTATATTTAATTTTAAATTTTAAAATTTGAAATGATTTCTGACCGCACAATGTATGATGAACGGTCACGATCACGGGATCTTTAGGATCCCTAACAAAAGAATCCGGCGAGGACCCTTTTCCTAAAGAAAAAAACCCTCCGGCAAGGTTTGTCACCAAAAGAAAAATAAAAATTATATAACCCTCCAGCAAGGTGTCTCTAAAATGAAAAAGGAAATGGAAAAACGCCCTCCAGCAAGTTGCCATTTTATAAAAAGAAACTAATGAAAATGACTTTAAAATTTTGAGTTTTACCAGGATTGACTTTTTAATGTAAAAGTGTGGTTTTTCGTTAAAGTAAACAGTACCTCGGTTTTTTTTGTTAAAACTCCATTTTATAAAACCTCAAAAGGCAATGCAGAGAGTAAAAATTAGGGGTGGGCACTTGAACCCAAAAACCGAAACCAAAACACGAACCAAATCGAACTGCACCGAATGGTTTGGTTTTGCAGTTTCAAAATGGTTTCAGTTTGAAACCGAACTGAATGAAGGAAAAACGGTTTGGTTACGGTTCTGGCCATCTAAAACCGAACCAAAATCGAAACCACATAAAATGTTAAATTCTAATTAGTTATTTTATTGAGTCCATACATTTAGTATGAACGCAACCACATCATAACATGACCACATAATCTCTTTCTTTTCTTTCTTCTAGTCGTAGTCTATAGACTCCGTACTCTTTCCTTCTCATTTGCTGCTCTCGGTCTCCCAATACTCTCTCCCCAGACTCTCTTTTATTTTGGGTCAGTGATGATGTTAATGTTTTTGCTCTTGTTGTGTTCAAATTGGCTGACAGCTTTGAGCTTCACGTTCATGCTTTTTGTTTGTGTGCTTTGGAAAATGGTAGCTTGAGGAGAAACTATACGAAACGATAAAATGATAGCTTGAGAAGCAACTATACAAAATGTTATAGTTCACAAAGATCAATGATTTCTCATCCATTGGTTTTATATTTACAACGTGTAAGGTTTTCCTCAAGTATCAGCTTCTCAAGTCCGTTCACAAGTTCAAAGACTTTCTAAACATTCGGCTAGTAAGTGTGTATAAGAAAAGGGAAAGACAAATGTTTGAAACTTGAATGATGCAAAATAAGTTGAAACACTAGAACTTTTTTATTGAATTGAATGAATGCTATATTGAAGCCTGCTTGATTGAATTTTAATATTGTATGCATCCTTGAACAATCAGTAATAGAAGTGTATATCAAAGGAAAATGAAATAAGATACAATTAGGTAACCATAATAGCTTTTTCAAATAATGAAACCAAATGAAAACCGTTTAAAACCAAACCGAACCGAATCAAATGGTTTGGTTTCATTTCGATTTAGCCTCAAAACCGCACCAAATCAAACCGTAAAAACTTGCAATTTTGATTTTGGTTTCACTCAAAACCGCACCAAACCAATCCGTGCCAACCTAGTAAAAATATATAGTGAAAGAACTGCCGATTGATCACCCCAATTCTTCATCTTCATCCATTTCTGTTCTATCAAGATTTCAACTTTCTATCTGCCTCTGTGTATTGATTACTGGGTAAGCTCCCCTTTCTTCTCTTTCCTCTCTCTCTCTCTCTACTTATAAATTGTTTGACTTATATATATGTTTTGCTCCAAGAAAGTGGTAAATAATGATTACCCAGTTGATCAATTTCTTAGCAAAGAACCCTAACATGATCAGATTCTCACTTTATTAGCTAAACCCTTCTTTTAATTTTTGTAATTGTTTCCGAATACAAATGAAAGGTTTCAATTTTCTCAGAAACCAATTGAAGCAAATGGAATTAATTTAACCAAGAAACTTAGAGATAAGTCTGATATTCTTCAATAAACATGAGAAAGAACACTTCTTGCTACATAAATATGCGTACTCTGTTTTAAATCCTTTTTTTCTTCGGTTGGCCTCATTTCGATCTTTGTTTTTAGGCATAAGTGCTTGTTCTACAATGGCTTACGTTCCACCACACAAGCGGCACTCGAAGGAACCGGAGAGGCCATTGCTGACTCCAGAGCTGCTTGCTCCTCCATTCAAGAAAAACTTAAACGTCAAGCCATATAATAAGTCTAATGTGGAATGGACTGTAAAAATAGTTTATGCAGATCATTCTACATCGAGATGGCTCACCATTGGTTTGGATGACGAGAACCAATTTCTGCCTTCTGTTAATCTTATGCCCATTTACTTGGAGTCCACTGAGCCAAAAGTTGGAGAAAACCGTCTAGCTTTAATCAATACTAGTCTAGATAATGGTTGGTACTCTAATATTTCTTTTTAGTGCATTAATCTTGTATGTTGTTTCTTGGGTTGTGATGTATGGTTTTTTTTTTTTTTTCATGATTGATATGTGACAGAAGGTGATGAGGTGAAATGGAATTTGCCAAGGAGTCCTGGGGTATCTAACAGAAAATGTGCTGGAAGACTTGGTTTCTTCTTTTAAACACGTGAAGAATGAAATGAAGTGCGCAAAGCTCAAAGAAGTAAATCCTACTTTGATTGCTAGAGTTGGGAAAGTACTTTTTCGTAGGTTAGATTTCTTCCTTATATGATTCATTGGTTGGCTATTGAGCCTATTGTGCCATTCATTTAGTTGATTGTTTAATCCGATTATCCTTTTTACCTTTATGTTGTTCTTTTATCCGCCTCAGAATACTGGTTGAAGTAGAACAAATAATAGTCCATACTATGATAAAATGTTACATTTGGCATTTTAGTTAAGAAGGTAGGATGCCAAGTTGGACAGTGAAGCAGGATTCTAAAACTCTGCCCTTGGTTTGCGATACCTGATACAATATTATTTCGATACTTCTACACAGACAGATGTATAACAATTTTGTTGGAGTATGTGGCCAAGTGGCCAACTTTTGGCTATAAACAATTCAAAAGAAAAAAAAAGACAACATGATGATGTTTCTTGCTTGTTTTGGGGAAAAGAAAAGCACACTTTGTCTAAAGTTTTTCTTTGGTCCATGTGAGAAGTCACGGGAGTCCTAGGGTTTTTAACTAGCAGCAACAGCTGCCTTTTGTTGTGGGAGAAAGGTTGTCGCATAGAAGAAGAAAAGAGAAGGGAGCAGCAGAAAGTAGAAGGAGTGTGCACCATTTTCTGTTTTAGTAGTCCATCTTTGAGAGAGCAAAGAGAGCTGTAGAGAGCAGAAAACAGAGAGCAGAAGAGAGAAGAGTGAGCTGCCAAGAGCAGGGAGAGTTGCAGAGAGCCCAAACAGGAAGAAAAAGCTGCTGCTTCATTTGGTTAGTAATCATCCACCAAAGTAGTTGTTGTTGTAATAGCTTTGAGCTATATGTATAGAGAAGAAATTATTCATTATATTTCTTCCTCTATTTGTTTCTTTGGTGTGTGAGAGCTATTGGGTGTATTGGGTTATTTGGGTTGTGAGATTGCCAACACTTTGTAAACTCCCATTTGGTTGATAGCGAATTATTGGGTGAGCTCCTACTGCTCCGAGGACGTACTCCAGTTACACTGACTGTTGAGGAACCTCGTTAAAATCTTGGTGTCTTTAATATTTTGTTCTTGCATTTTCATTTGATAAATTTCCTGTGGGTTAGCTTGAGTTGGTTCCAACGAGTTTGGTGCTATCCTAACACAACAAATTTTTGTTGAAATCTTCGAATCAGGAGCCCTTCAATTGACATGGAATCCATCAGAAAAAATTTGTGTCCTGAAATCTTGAAACAATTGAGGAAATCATTTTATACAAACATTCCTGTTTCATATAAGGAAAATATTGTGAACGAAGTTGTCCCGAAAATTGGAGTTGATTTCGAAGAGGAGAAAGATACATTCCAAATAAAGGTATTTGTTTTAGACACGTCACCTTACTGAGTTCTGAGTATATGCTTTCCACAATTCTGACTTTGGCTATTGAATCACTCATCTATGTCCTTCTCGTATAGTTGTCTGATTCCACCAGACCAGATGCAACTCTCTCCTGCAAATGCTGTGTAATGAAAGAACATGTAAAGCTACAACTCTACAAGGCAAGTTTTTCTATTCCTGCCAACTAAATTGGATGAAATGGTATATAATGATTCAGTTTCATGATTGAGTTGTCATGATACTGATTAAGTATAATCTACTGTGCTTCTAAATATTAGGGTTTATAACAAAAGTAAATGTTAAACGGGTGAATGTGATTAAGCTTTCCAATTTTTGGAACAATGTGTGAACAGCATTTCCACATCATTAATAGTTCCTTAACTCTTCCCTCTTCCCTGTTGCTTGGCGTAGAGTATGTTTGCTAAGACTTACATTGCAATGCCAAATTTCTTTATTTTAGGTTGAACTGAATCAACTGCGTAACATGGTCACGGACATTTCATGCACTACTAAGAGTCTGGTCCTGAGACTAATGCTATGCACGAAGAGACTCGTAACAGATCTGACTGTAAGCTGCTTCACCCAGTACCTTTTGGAAATTTACATTTCTATTCCTTCTTGTTTCAGCAAAGCAATTAGTTATAAACTATTTATCATGGAGCCACAATCAAAACAAAGAATATAAAATTTTCTGTAAATGTAACCGGACGATGAGGTTTAACCATGGATCAACTGCTGAACTTATGCAGCTTGGAATGTGGTTCTGTAATCATATGAATTGTTGCTATTTCAGGATGATGAGATGCAAAGCATTAGGGATCTGTTTAATTCGGCAATTCTCGATCCATATGTGAAGGGTGGGTTGAGGTGGCCTCTGGGAAAGGAGTCTTCCGGAGATAAATATAAAGTTGTTGGGGTTTGGCACGTAATAGCTAATACGTATAAAAATTCATCACTGAGACTGAAAGTAAGACATGCTGATCGATTCGATTTTAGAACCTTAACTGGGGAAGCTACTTGGGAGACAAGTCTGATGCTGAAAAAGGTCATGTCAATGTTGCAGGTTGTTGATGCACAAAACCGGAGGTCTTGGAACAACGTAAATCCGATCGTGAATCTGCATGAAATGTAAATAACACAAGATATATCGTGGTTCACCCCAAGGTTTGGGCTACGTCCACACTGATTATGTATTTATCTGAGGGAGAGAGAGCTCTGAGAGTGAGAGCTTTGAGAAGGGGGAGAGGGCCTAGGAATTGGCCTCTCCCAATTGTGAGGGTGATGGGTCCTTTTATAGAATAAGGACTCCTCACTTATTACATATTTGCCCCTTTCTTTATTACATAATTACATTTAAGGTCCCCTCGTATTTAGGCCATAAATATGGTATAAACAGTAGTCTTCCAAGTTTTCAGTCAAGAGTGTCTTTTGACTGGAGACTTGAAATTCAGTCCATGTGTGGGCCGAAATAACTAGATGTTGTCTTGAACTGATACTCGATATGAGGCGGTGCTCAATCTGAAATGATGCTAAACTAGAAGTAGCACATGCTGCTCGGCTGCTCGGCTCGTGGCTTATGTTGCCTTGGTTGACTCGACTTGTGGCGTATGAAGGTAAGGGAGTCTCTTTTATAGAATAAGGGCTCGCTCCTTAATACATAAATGATAGGCTAGAGTTGATGCTCGCGGCGAGGCGGTTGCTCAGTAGGTGGCGATGCTCTCTAATGGTGATGAGGGGGTCTCTTTTATAGAATAAGGGATCGCTCCTCAATACATAAGTAATGGGTTAGGAGTCATCAATAAGGGCTCGCTCCTCAATACATAAATGATGGGCTAGAGTTAATGCTCGGGCGAGGCGGTTGCTCAGTAGGCGGCAATGCTCTCTAATGGTGATGAGAGGGTCCATTTTATAGAATAAGGGCTCGCTCCTCAATACATAAATGATGGGCTAGAGTTGATGCTCGCGGCGAGGCGGTTGCTCAACTGGCGGCGTTGTTCTCTAATGAAGGTGAATGAGTCCATTTTATAAAATAAGGGTTCGCTCCTCAATACATAAGTGATGGGCTAGAGTGATGCTGGCGGCGATGCGGTTGCTCAGCTGGCGGCGTTACTCTCTAATGAAGATGAGGGAGTCCCTTTTATAAAATAATGGCTCGCTCCTCAATATATGAATAATGGGTGCTCTCTAATGAAAGTGAGGGAGTCCCTTTTATAGAATAAGGGCTCGCTCCTTAATACATAAATAATGGACTAAATCCCCCAAGTATTTTTCATGAGGCCTAGTTGAGGCCCAATATATGGTACATAATGTAGTTCCCCAAATCTTCGGTCAATAGAGTCTGTTGGCTGGAGACTTCAAATTGAATCCATGTATGGGCCAAAGTGGCGGTTGTTCGGAGGCGGTATTTGTATACCCTGCACTGAAGCTTTGTAGGTGAAGCTTTGCAAGTGAAGCTTTGAAGCTAGAGCTCTGTAAATGAAGATTTCGAAGCTGGAGCTTTTGTAAATGAAGTTTTTGAAGCTAGAGCTCTATAAATGAAGCTTTTGAAGCTAATTGACATGAGTGATGCTCATGAATGTTTATGTTGATTGACATGAGTGATGCTCATGGATGTTGTCATGAGTGATGCTCATGAATGTTAACATGAGTGATGCTCATGAATGTTGACATGAATGATTGTCATGAATGTTTATGTATGATTGTCATGAGTGATACTCATAAATGTTTATGTATGAATGACATGAGTAATGCTCATGTATAATTTGGGGTACTGGGCGTACTTCTGATCACCTGGTTGGAGGCATGAAGGGGAGTACAGGTTGTACATTTTATCACCTGGTTGGTGGCATGAAGATGAGTTCCTTCTTCACCTGGTTGGTGGTATGAGTGGCAAGTGGCCAAATAATCGTAGAGTACTAGGCATACTTTTGGTCACCTGGTTGGTGGTAATAGCGGCGGGTTGCCGAATAATTGTAGAGTACTGTGCGTACTTTTGATAACTTGGTTGGTTCTATTTTGGGCTTATGGGCCTTCGCTCTCTACAACATGCCAGCCCACTTATTTTGGGCTTTGCCGTTTTTTTTTAAACCCTATGATTAGGTTTTTACACATGTCTCCGAAAGATAAAATAAATTACATCATTTAGAAATAACAAAAATAAATCACATTATTCTGATGGGATTTTATTCCTCACTTTTGCTTTCTACTTTTACTTTTCTCTTTTGCTTTTGCTTTCTGCAATTATCTCGGTGGGTAGTCATGCTTTTTGTTTTTTCTCCTCTTTTCTGCTTTCTGCTTTTGTTTCCCATTCCATTTCCAGACATTCTTTTGCTTTCTTCTTTATTCTTTTCTGTTACACCTCTCTCTGTCTCTTCACCTGGCAGACAAAATGAATCATGATAGAAATAATAATAGGCAACTTAGCTTTTTAGAGTGGGCATCCACGAACAAAATCTGCCCATTCACGGTATGGGTTGTACAGGGTGTTGAAGAAAAATGCAGTTGATGGAGACAGAAGGTTCTTGATATGCTGCTCAAGAACATTGATGTCTTTGCCAGAAGGATCCTCAGCAACAAAGCAATCATCGTTGATGGTGAAGATGTACTTCTTCTTGGAGACCATGTAGCCGAAGCATCTGTAAGCAGGGTCCTTGAACAAGATGCAGGACGCCTTGGGACCCAGAATCCGGTTGATGTCGTTACGGTTGTAGAGCTCGTAATCGAAGCCTTCCGGGACCTTGATTTCCTTCGACGGGTCGCCGTCCTGGACGATGATAAGGTGGTACTGCTAGAATAAAGGCCTCCAGATGTCGAGGAAATCAAGGTTTCAGATGGTGGGGATAACGATGTCGAGCTCGTCTTTTAGCAGAGGGGTCGGGGCGACCTTGCTGTACTCCGCCATGGCTGCAGCTGCTTTTCAGTGACGGAGGGAGAGAGGGAGAGAGGGAGAGATGGGTTGGAGTTCAGAGAGAGCGTTGGGTTGGGAGTGTCGGCTCCAGTGGCGTCAGAGACGACGCGGTGGATCTCGGCGCCGGCGAACTGGGCCTGGGCCAGGCCTTCTTGGGTGCTGAAGGAGAGCTTTGATCCTCAGGTTGACGTGGCCAAACTTTGAACTTGAAGTGGCATCTCCCCAATCGAGTGCAGAGCGCTGCAGCCCTTGCTAATGGTGAATTCAAATTAACGTATGTGTGCAGATCGATCAAGTTGGACTTGACTATCGGAGGACTTCAAATCCTGCTTGTTTTGTTTCCTGATGAAAGCCAGCTAGCTGCTTCATCTGCATCTGACTATGTAATCAATGAGATGGATCCACCAAGACTACATAAAAAACACCTTATAACTTGTACTCTTGGCTTTTGCAGATTCACGGCGGAGGTGAAAAAATGAAAGAGAACTGACACAACTTTTCGTATCGTTTCCCACAAACGGCGCCAAATGTTGATGCACAAAACCGGAGGTCTTCGAACAACGTAAATCCGACCGTGAATCTGCATGAAATGTAAATAACACAAGATATATCGTGGTTCACCCCAATGTTTGGGCTACGTCCACACTGATCATGTATTTATCTGAGGGAGAGAGAGCTTTGAGAGTGAGAGCTTTGAGAGGGGGGAGAGGCCAATTGTGAGGGTGAGGGGTCCTTTTATAGAATAAGGACTCCTCACTTATTACATATTTGCCCATTCCTTTATTACATAATTACATTTAAGTCCTCCGAGTATTTATACGAGGTCTAAATATGAGTCCCTAAATATGGTATAAACATAGGTAAGAGTTTCCTTTTCTCTGGGACAATTTTTTTTATTTCATGTACTGAAAGAAAAGATTTATTTGAGAAGGTTTGTCGTGTGCTGAAATCTCCCTGTCTTTCAATTTTCAGGAAGAGAATGTTGAAGTCAGCTCAATTTCTGAGGTACTCAAGGAAGATGTGCAGCTGATATGGGATAACTTCTTGAGCTGTAAACGTTTTCTAACAAGAAATTGCATGTTGTAAATCAATGATCACTTTCTATGCGACGTGTACATATCTGTCTACATCCTGAGTTTTACGTTCAACTTTCGGCATTGTTTGATGAATAATTAGTAACTGTTCTAATGATTTCTTGCAATCCTGCTAGCTATGTGTATCTTGGATAGTTGATGGTTAATGAAATTTTTGCGATTTTACATTTTGATGACTTCATTGCCAGTTAATGCTTCGGCTCAGGTGCTTTCTTACAACACAAGACCTTTATATAAAAGAACTAATCTGCTTTTTGCTATATGATTGTTCTGGATTGCACACTGTTGAAAATATATACAAATAGACAGGGAATTCGTTTAGGTTAAACTATTGGAATTGACGAATTTCGGACCACTGTCTCGCCTTGCTAGAATGGAACTTGTAGGGAGAGATTTGTGCGGGGAAATTCCACCAAGGAATTTCGGCTAGGGAAACAAAGGAATGGCTGCTCTATTTCTCTACCCCTAACCCTCCCCATATGGCCTCTATTATAGTGGTCATGTAAGGCTTAGGCTGTAGAAGAATATGCTTGCTCACCAAGCCAAATCCCACCATCCTTGGCATATTCAAAGGGAGAATATCTTGGTTATCAATGATATTTCCTTAGAAATATTATTCCAATCCACCTACTAATTTGGGTGGATATTTATTTAATTAATATTAAATAACTCTAACACACACAAGACACAACCAATTCTTCACTTACACCTACACTTCTATTCCTAAAGTTATTGTTGAATTGTAATCTTATCTTGGCCCAAGATAATTGATCCGGCCCATATACAAAGAAAGATCCATGCATATGCTAGAGAGTTATAGCAAATTCAAATTGGTGGAATTCATGCATAAATATCTAAGGCTTTTTGTAGAAAGATCTAGAATCTTGTACAATTGTGTGGTTGTTAAGCATTAACTAGAAAGTTCTAGCAATGTCAAAGTGGCAAACCTTGCCTATAAATAGGTGAGGTGCTAAGCTACGTGATGTAACAACCAAGAGAGCAAGTAGTGAGAAGTGAGAGTGCCAAGTGAGAAGTGAGAAGAAGCAACAAAGCTTCTAAGAGTGTTTGAGTGTTTCCTCTTGTACTAAGTTTGTGAGTGAATAAAAATCTTGTGTAATACTTTGAGTATTCTTTCTTTCTCTTGCCTATCAATTCCGCTGCATTACATTCTTCTTTGTGAGATAAACATCTCCAAAGTAGTGAAGCCTTTTTAAGCCCCAACAGTTATTACCATCTACTGTTTACATATGAGATATGCACTCCGGATAAACAGAAAATTAAGGCTAGAATTATATGAAATCTTCAATCTCTCTTGAGCTGAAACAGTGGGAACTATACGTGTTCATCGTTTGATTCATAGACATCCGTAGTCTGCTTAAGTTCATCTGACCTTGAATTTTTGTTCACACTGCCCGTCAAATTTGGACGGTTGGTGGAGCTCAACTTCTTCATCTCCATAGTACTCTTTTTCACTTCGACATCTTTCCCTGAATTCTTGTATGTCATGTATAGGATCATTTGGGCGATGCCAAATAGAAACCCTAACACGTTTGGTAACTGCGCTCATCCGATAAATGTTCGTGTCAGATTTCGAAAATTAGGGTTAGCAAGCCTCAAAATTCCAAGAAATGAAATTGGAAATTGGTACTTACTGCAATGTAGTAATCCTTTGTGAATAGTCCGTAGAAGAACCACATGGTGGCACAAAGTGTCAGGAAAAGGGACAAAGAAAATGGCATGAATTCCACACTTTTGGTTCTTATTACTTGCCTCTGCCGGAATGTAAACATGTCAAATGACAGTGATTGCCATAATTCTAAATTTAAAGAAAAATAGAGATTTATCATTTAACTATAGTTAATTAAGTACCATAATGCTTAGAGGAGCAGCAAATACAGCAATGTTAAACACGGCACAAATCCATCCAACAGCGCAAACGCGCGCTGTCCCTCCAAGGAGGAAGACGGTGACTGCCAGCACCAACCCGAAAGCGGCTACATTTACTAGCAGGATCAAACTCAGTGTAGTAATCTGCGAGCCATGATCAAAGTATTAGCATTTATCCAATTTAAATAGCATACATATCTGCATATCTGTTTTCTTCAGTATTCCCTAACAAACAATCAAACAAAAAGAGACATGCATAATGTATGCCTCTGACCTTGTCCTTCTTGGATGCGTATACAATGTAGAGGATGAGGTAAGTAACTTCGATAACGATTCCGATGACGTTGATGCTGACGATCAAATAAGCATTTGTCTTGAGGACTCCATAATACAACAATAGAGTTGCACTGAGTAGGGCAACCACGTAAGGTATGGATTGGAACCCTTTCGATGATTTCTTCTTGTATATTGTGTAAAACGTTGGTCTGCACAGAGAGAGAGAGAGAGAGAGAGAGAGAGAGAGAGAGAGAGAGAGAGAGTTACGCTAATGCAACTTATTCATAAAGATGTGAATTAGGGTTTAAGTACGTGGTTATTTGTTTAAAGTAAAGGGTCTTACATTGGCGCCAAAAACACCATGAATGATACAATGTTACCTGTGAAACCATGACAATATTCCAAAGCTTGTGTTAGAATTAGATAACAGGAATAATATCGTAAAACAACTTGAAAATTTTAGATTTTTAAAGAACTTTTTTAGAAGAATGAAGTTTGAGTGAGCATTTTAATTAATTACCTACTTGATTGTATATAACCATATCTGAATAGAAGAGAGAAAGAAAATTGATATACACAATTATATATTTGCATACCTAAGAGACCGAATACGAAAGCCAGTTGTTCGGTATTCAAGAACTGCATTCTGCTGCTGATGATTGATGAATATTTATGTTTTAAATTTGTAGTTTTTTCCCTTCTTTTTCTTGTGAAGCTTTTTTCAGCACCTTTGTTTGCAGTAGTTAATTCGACACTGCAAAAAAGCTTAAGGATTCCATTTTTCAGGTACCCTTTTATAGCAAGGTATAAGTTAAAAAGTTAGGCAACTCATCAACTACGTGACAAACTGAGACTGAAATGAAACTTCCATCTTCGTTCACAGCTTATCTATGATGATAAGTAACTAATTATATGTGATTGAAGTACCTAACTGGGAGTCCTAAACCATGTAATAGGTGGCTTGGTTATTTTGCATGGCATCCATGAGTTGCCCAGATATTGATGTTGCATATGGGAAATGAAAATACTCACTTATCATACCGTATTCAATTAACTAACTGCTAGCCTAACTCTCAATTAGAAGTAACATAACTTAATATAAAATTATAATTTACTTTTGTCAAGTATCCGATATGTGACTCCTTACATTCTTCAAAAATGAAAGCTTAGAAAGATTAAATAGTAAATACCATCTTAATTACGGTGTTGCTCCATTTTTTTTTTTACTTTTGGTCCTTATGTTTTTAGTTTGGATAAACTTTATTATTATGCTATCCATTAACAATCTTGGTCTCTTTTGCTTAGCTACGCCTCTGCGTGCTATGCGCGTGTAAAATAACACTTAAAGTTAGACAAAAAGAAAAAAAAAACAAAATAGTTAAGGAATTAAAACACAATGACTAAATTGGCTAAATAAAAAATTTCAAGTAAAACGTAGAGATTTAAAAGATATTTAATTCAAATTAAGAATAACATTTTGTCCACTATGCACATAAATGGCTCGTATGTGAAGTTCTTTTAAATGACTGAAAGTGCTATTATATAAAATAATTTTGAAAACAATCCTTAGTAAAAATGCAATTTTGAAAACAATCCTGTAATTAAGAAGCATATAATTGGTGTTTCTTGCAGAATGCACTCAAATACTTTTAGAATCCAAAAATATTTTCTCTAAAAGTGCTTTTAGTCATTTAAAAACACTTAATAAATGAGCTAAAAGTGTTCAACAACACCATTCTCTATAAAATTATATTTAAATATCTTTAAATTTTAATGATTAGGGAAGTGTGATCTGCCATTTTAGAGGACACTCTTTTGCATCTTTTATTAAAAGGGATGTGATATCCACATACATATTTTTACTTCTCACAAACTCTTCTAATTTTTAATCGTCGGATTGAATAAACTGAAGAAGATCAAATAATAACAATTAAAAAAAGTATGAAAGAAGTAAAAAAAAAAAAAAAGCGTGCTAAATTAGGAACTTTAGCTTTAAACAAAGATGGGAACATCCCAATTTCGACGCAAATATTGGATCCTAGCTAGCTAGAAAATACCCATTTATGATGTGACAGTTGGAAGGCTACCAAATTTTAACAATCAACTACTACGGGTCGAGGCTTCTTAATTGTTTGGTCTGCCCTACAATTATCTTTTATATGCACGACGTTGATTGAAGAAAGTTGAGGTAATATCGAAAATAGTTCAGCTTATTTATGAGTTTATGTAAGGTCTATTTTTTAGTAATGTGTGATTTATTTTCAACACGTTTCTTTATGTTTGGTGAATTTCAAGTTTAACATGAGGACAACACAAATAGAGTGACGTAGAGTATGTGTGGCCGTTAGATTTCATATATGGGACAACCTGCTCTAATACCAAAAAGAAAGTCAAGGTTTTATTATAAAAGTAATAGCCAATATGGAAGTAGCATAATTTACTTATAAGCTCATGCAATGTCTCTCCTCCTATCATTCTGAATTCACTCTCAACACACCCTCTCATGTATAGTGTGTTGAGTGTATGAATCTCACCTCGGGTAAATTAAGGACATTTTATGTGCTTATAAATAATTAAGCTACTTCTCATATTGCCAATTGATTTTATGATGAAACTTCAACTTCTTCATAATATCAGAGCAAATTGTCTCACATGTAAGCCCTAACAACCATAACTTTATGTCAACCCGATTTGTATTATCCACGTGCTAGGCTTGAAAATTAGCCACAGTTAGAGGACGTGTTGAGAATAAATTCTACATTAATAAAAAAATGAATCTTACATGTGTTTATAAATAATTGAATTACTTCGTATAAAGCTAATTATTTTATGGTGAAATTCTAACTTTCATCACTGATGGAACAGTTCGAGGCTTCTAGCCAAGAGAAATACCATCAAACGACATCTCAAATTAGGCCAAAAGTCAAATTTGTACTTGTAGTTTAGGTTTTATGGTTTCAATTTTGTTAACTTTATCAGTAATGAAGCCACAGTATACTTAAAGATAAAATTGGTACAAAAAATAAATGTACTGCAATCAAGTTCTTCAAAGATAAATTTACAGAAATGAAAAATACTCAAGAAGAAACAACCATCATATTAATGAGGGAATTGGTATTTTAAAATTCTCACCATGCACTTCAAACTTTCCGCAAGAACTGCAAAATGAAATTTTTCGAATACCAATAAAATTTTCCATTAATTAGGCCGTCCATGATGTTTATCTTAGAAGCTACATTATATACACCTAGATGATCACTCAATATCCATTTCCATTTAAACACAGAGACGGCTTTTACAACACTTTCTATAACTTTGCTTGCCCTCAACCTTTCCGTCATTTAGTAACATAGCGTGGAATTTTAAGCACCACACACACTCATGCATCTATATACTAACTAGGTTTCATCCCAAATAGGGGGTTAATATTTGCGGAGGATAAAATTCGGTTTCGACAAGGACCCATCGCGAGTTGTCCAAATGGATGGATCATGGAAGGTCACTATAAGGTTCTTTGGCATAAGTCCAAGAGCGGTAGGCTAAACCAAAAGACAAGTGATTAGTGGCCCACCAATATCATTAGTCCACTCTCACACTCCGTGCAAGGAGAGATTTTTCAGTGTGACTGTCACACGAGGTGGTACATCATATATCTCTATATAATGGGTTATGTGTGTTAAAAGGTTAATAACTTAAAAATTAACATTTTCCACCACTTGCATAAAAACACTTGATGTACCATCCGTATTCCCGTTACAACTAAAAATTTCTCCTGTGGAAGACTTGGAGGGACAAACAATTAACCCACGTGCACCATCATGTTGGTGACGGAGGCAGATTCTCTGCCCTCCCACTTCCCGTGTCATCCTGTTTGTGTGATCACGGTTAAGCCACATCAATATTTTAATTTTTTTTTTTGGGTAAATTACATAGTAGCCCCTCAGGTTTGAGGTCTATTGCAATCTTATACAACATCTTTAAAACATTTCACTTTCATACCTCAAGTACTATTTTATTTCAATTTCATACAACCGTTACATTTTCCATCCATGGATCTGTTAAATGCTGACGTGGCTGCCACATATATGTCACGTGGCAAATAAAAATAATTTTTTAATTTCGGGACAATTTATATTTTTATTTTTTTTCCTTCTCTTTCTACTTTTTCTTCCTCCTTCTTCTGGGTTTGGTTTTTTTTTTTTTCTTTCTTCTTCTTCTTCTTCTTCTCTATTTCTTCTTCTCTTCTTCTTCTTCCTCCTTCTTCTTCTGGGTTGCAGGGGGTTCGGTCCCCTTTTTTTTCTTTTTTTTTTTTCTTCTTCTTCTTCTTCTTCTTCTTCCTCCTCATCCTCCTCCTCTTTCTTCTTCTCTTCTTCTTCTTCCTCCTTCTTCTTCTGGGTTGCAGGGGGTTCGGTCCCTTTTTTTTCTTCTTCTTCTTCTTCTTCTTCTTCTTCTTCTTCTTCTTCTTCTTCTTCTTCTTCTTCTTCTTCTTCTTCTTCTTCTTCTTCTTCTTCTTCTTCTTCCTCCTCCTCCTCTTTCTTCTTCTCTTCTTCTTCTTCCTTTTTCTTCTGGGTTGCAGGGGGTTCGGTCCTTTTTTTTTATTTTTTTCTTCTTCCTCCTCCTCCTCCTCTTTCTTCTTCTCTTCTTCTTCTTCCTTCTTCTTCTCTTCTGCTTCTTCCCCCCAGCGACCCACATCCCTGAAGAACCCAAAAACTTGCAAGAAAGAAGAAGAAGAAAAAAAAATCAGGTTTTTAAAAAAAAATTAAAAAATTATTTTATTTGCCACATGGCAGACATTTGGCAGCCACATGGCATATATGTGGCAGCCACGTCAGCATTTAACAGATCCATGGATGGAAAATGTAACGGTTGTATGAAATTGAAATAAAATAGTACTTGAGGTATGAAAGTAAAATATTTTAAAGATGTTGTATAAGATTGCAGTAGACCTCAAACCTGAGGGGCTACTATATAATTTACCCTATTTTTTTTATAGATATAATAAGACAAAAAAGAATAGTAATATATGTAAACCAATCTACAAAATAGGAACAGAGAGATGAGATAGAAAGAATACTTGGAGAGCAAGATATATCTGAATTGTATTGTATATTTCTTATTCATTTCACAACTGTTTCATTACAAAGGATATTTATACTATCTTAGACAGCTTCCTAACTAAGCTATCTTATAACAACCTTATAACTGCAATACTAATCTCTTGACACTTGGCAACATCTTAGCTATTCATATAATACTCCTAACATCCCCCCCTCAAGCTCAGGAGCATAGAAATTGTTGCAATGGCGCTGAAACAAAGGTGCAGACAACCCCTTTGTGAAAATTTCTGCAAACTGCTCACCAGATGATACAAAATGCACTTGCAGAAGTTGTTTGGCAACCCTTTCTCTCACAAAATGTATGTCAACCTCTATATGTTTTGTCTGTTGATGTTGAACAAGATTCAATGTTAAGGCTATAGCTGAAAGATTATCACAATACAAAGTTGGTGTATCAGATACTGAAACCTGCAGAAATGCCAACAACTGTTTAATCTAATCAATCTTAGCTGTTGTAGAAGATAAGGCCCTATACTCGGCCTCTGTGGATGACCGAGATACAATTTGTTGTTTCTTGGAGGACCAGGATATCAGAATCGAGCCGAGGAAAACAACCAAACCAATGGTGGATCACCTATCATTAGGATCCCCTGCCCAATCTGCATTACTAAAAGCTTTAAGATCCAAACCGCCCTTAACATATCGAAGACCACAT